AGCCAGCCTGTTTGCTCCAAGCTGTGGCTCTCCATGGTGTGAAATTTCTGAGGCCTCTGAGCCAAAATGCAGACCTGGGGTGTGAAGTGGCTGAGCCTCTGCCTCCGCCCTGTATCTCTCCTTGACACCCCCGTTATCTCCAGCGAGACCAGCGAGGCACAAAGCCCCAGGCTCCCTGGCTGCCCGCAGATATTCCCCCTCCTCCCGGCCAAGTTCACACTCCTACCCTTGCCCTGCCCCCTGCAGGACACAGGAAGGCCCTCTGGCAGCACCCACTGAAGCTGGTAAACGAAGAACCTCAGTCCCTTCGGAAATCCCAGCACCTTCCCCAGACCTGCTTATGGCACCTGAGGACAGATGGAGCTTGTGGAAGGAACACAGCCCCACTCAGCCCCACTCAGGGCGAGTAGCTATCTGTGGGTCACCTCTGCCAGAGCTCTGGGCCTGTCTGCCAACCAGTGCCTATGTCTATCCCACAGCTGGGCCAGAAGTCCCTGGGAGCCCTGCCATCACTGAAACGGCTCCCTCTGCCAGCTAGATACATCTGCCCAGAGGGGACTTTTTGTTAATTGACATGACATAGTCCTGAGCTGATGGGCAGGTGACTTTGAGGCTGTCCATAGCTGGTGGAAACAAGGGAGTGTGCATTCCACGTGTTCCAGTGACTTTGGCCAAAGTGTGACTCAGACCATGCTTGGGTCATAGAGGAACAAAGTAAACACCTGCAAGAAAATCAGGAGTTTTGGAGAAGGTGTAAGTGGGAGGGACAGATGCTGAGTAAGCGACACACGTTAAATGAAACCACAAGCTGAAGGCACTTGGTGCTGGGCCAGGCTCAGAGCTGATGCTCATGTATCAGCTAGCACTTTTATTTCACTTAAACAAATATTTTGGCTAATAATGAGCCCCCCTTCTCGGTGCTGATCATTTGGAGGGTGGTGAAACAATCTCTTTTATAAGCCCTGAGGCTCCACCAGTTACCAGCCACATCAGTACAAGCAAGACCCCACCTTAGATTCCCTGCCTGTAAAATGAAGGTTAAAATATCTCTCCATCTAACTCACAGGAGAGACCATGCTTTATAAACTGCAGAGATGTTGGCTGTTGCACTTCTGATCTTGGCTGCGTGTTTTGCATCTTTATCGTGAGTATCAATTGGCAAAGGGATGCTTCTGGGAACAGAGTCCTTTGGCAAATGGTAGGCCAGACAGAGCTGCTTAGACTGAGTTAAAAGTTTTTGTTGGTTTTTTTTTTTTAAAGTTGTGTGTGCCTTTAAATCCATTTGGCTGAATTGCTGATTCAATAGGCAAATATTGAACAGACAGAAAATTTGGTGTGAGTTCCAAGACAACAAAGAGGGCTGTGAACTTCCAGGATGTTTACAGAGCAGCAGCTGAATGAAACGAGCTTTGTGAAGGAGAAAGTCTCACTAGGTAACAAAAAAGGAGAAAGTCTCACCAGGTAACAAAAAAAGCTACAGGGCTGGAAGCCAGGCAGGATTTATGATGTTAATTAAATTCATCAGATTCTCACTCCCTGTATCACCCTCTCAGCTGCCTGGGACTACAGATGAGGTCTCATCCACTTCTACGTCTAAACTGCCAACCTTGCCAGCACTAAGCTGCACACCCGCAGGGCCACAGCCCACCCACCTCAGCACCCTCTGGGGCGTTTCACATGTGCTCCGACAAGCCTAAACCTGTCTTTCTCCCTGGCCTCGTCCGGTCCGTGTTCCCTGCTTCTACTGACCTGCCCTCTAGGAAAGCAGGCCCCCATTCCCACCCCTCCCCTCCCACCCCCCTCAATACCCTGGGCCATCAGGGCTGCCCCTGGTGTCTGCAGGCTGCTTGTCCTAGAGAATCAGGGTCAGGCTGGGATTGGGGCAGAAATGCAAGGTTCCGTGCCTACCCCATAGCTATTCTATCCTTTGTCACCAGGCCTAGAAGGGACACTGCCTGAGCCCACCTCTCACAGAAACAACTCTGCAGGTCTCTAACCCCAAACCCTCTCAATCTGTTCCACCATTCTTGCCTCCCCTGGTCTCTATGGGCACTTCTCATCAAAAGCTTTCATTCTCCTCATGTGTGCCCATTCCTACAAATGGGACCAGGCCAACAGTCAGCCTCAGGCCTGCAAACAGCAGGCTCTGCCTCCTGGTATGGCCACCTCAGAGACACCCTGCTTCATCAAATGTCTCTTTATTCATGAATACAGGTGGAGAAAGTTGTGCTCCAAACCTTTGGTTGTCGGGGAAGAATTGCACCTACGAGTAACAGAAAACTAAAATAATAGTGGCTAGAATAAAATAGAGGTTAAGTTTTTGTCTCATGTTAAAAGAAGTCTAGGGGCAGCCAGTCCAGGGTTAATACAGAAGCTCCCTAACCATCAGTGACCCCGTTCCTGTACCCTACCTTCTGCCATCATTAACATGAGGGTTCCATGTCTGAGGTCACCTCACTGATCCCAAAATAGTTACTACAGCTCCTGACATCACATCCACATTCCAGGCAGCAGGGGGTAGAAAGGGACAAGGGCAAGAAGGCATGCCTCCCAGTTGAGTCAGCCTCCTTCCAAAAGCTTTCCCCAAAACCCCGCCCAATAGCTTTTGCTTACATCTTATAGGCCTCTTTCTGAAAAGCTAAGAAATGTGGTATTATAAAAAGCCCACTGACACACCCAACACTATAGGCTTTCTGTTGCTAAGGAACACACGGGTGTGGGTATTGGGTAAGAACGGTAGTAGCCTCAGACCTACTTTCTTGAGAGCTAGATAAAAGCAAGAGAATAGAGTCTTACGTTAATTTCTCACCGGGTTTCTTGTGGGGGTCACAAGATGAGAATGATACAAGTGCAGAAACAATGATTATGGCATCATAAAAAGAGGCAGAGTGTCATGTATTCTCAGCCCATTCTACACCTGAGTTGCAACACTGATCTGTGGTGCTCGCTTTAACAAGTCTACTGCCATATTCCAGTGCTAAGTAATCATTTAAAACAGTAGCAGACTGACTAACGCTCAGCTGGTGGTCTACTGGGACCTCAGGGTCTTTGTCTCCCGAGTCTTCAGAGTTTGTTCCTCCTCATCCATCTTTTGTTTGTGACGTTTGCGTTTCTTCTTGAAACAACTTACTCTAAAACCCTGTTTCTAGTGTTTCTGCACCACAGTCTTCACATTGTGGCACCAAGTTGTTGATCAGAATGGAAAGCTGAGCTCAGATGAGGGACACCACAGTGTCACGTGACAACGGACATGATTTATTTCCACAAAGGCCGCTGACATGTTTGCCTTTTTGAACTGGCATGTCTGCCTCCAATAGAGAAAGCCCAGAGCTGGCATTTATGGTGCTTCAGGCTCTACAAGCTGAGGCGAGAACCAAACCCCAGGTGCAAATAAAGCTACAACTTATAGCAGAGAAAAGCAAATAACCACACATCTGGTGGGGAGAGATGTCTTAAAAGTAAGAGGTAACTCTGAGGGACAGAATAACATTGTGATTACGAGCTCAAGGTCTGGAGAGGAGAAACCTGGGCTCCAGAGCCAACATCCCTGGATGCCATCGTGTGACCTTGAACAACTTACCTCTCTGAGCTCATTTTCCCACCCACAAAAATGAAACAATAACAAATATTAATATTTTTAATAAATGTTAAAATAATAAATGTGGAACCTATTCATGAAATGAAACCATCTACGGACAGCGCTTGGCCCTGTACCTGGCTTCTGGCACAGGGCAAGTGCCCGATAACATTAACAATTACTATTATTTGTCTAACAACAGTAGTGATAATAATGGTGTTGACTTGTATCTGAATGGCACAGAAGGGATTTAGCACAGGGCCTGGCACATAATAAGGCTCAATAAATAACTTCAACATTATTATTATTATCCTCGTTGTTGGTGAAGGAAATACCCAGAAACTGTTTCCTCTTTCCACGGGCAACTAAAGACACTTCCTCTGGGCCAGGCTCCCTCGGCCTTCCGATGTGAGCCTCCAAGCCTCAGGCAGGGGAGAAGCAAGACATGGAAGCCCCCGAGGAAGCTCAAAGAGCTTCACTGAGCTGCAGAGTCTGCATGGCGCCTGTGACCCCTTGGGGAAAGAAATGCCTCCCCCACGGACCCGTCAGTACCCATCTGGGTTTAGGGGCTCAGAAACAGCATCTCCCGCTCCCTGTGTCTAGCGTCCTTCCAGCAGCCCTCCTTGTGACAGGTTTGTGGGGATATCTGCCAGTTAGCAGGCCCTGCCAGGCACCTGTTGGCCCCAGCTGGGCAGGAAAATTACACATAGAGGAACTGGGTATGGGGGAGGGGCACGGCAGACACCGCTTATTCCACAGAATACCCTCCCTCCAGTCAAATGGCGATGTCCTGAATTTCTGGCAGAGATGCTGGTTTCTGAGAGTTCCTACCATAGAATTGGATTGTGTCCCTGTGGAAAATTCCACGTTGCATAAAGCGTGGCCCGGTGAGCAGGAAAGCTTTGCCATTCTGCAGCCCTGGGACTATGGGTAAGTCTCCTGTCCTCTGTGGGCCTGGGTATCCCTGTCAGGAAAGTTCAGGGGGTAGGTGAGATACGTGGCTCTAAACCGTGCATCAGGGGAGCTTGTTACAAAGGCAGATTCCCAGACGCTACCCCAAAAAATTCAGATTCAGGTGGGTCCAGAGGGCTAAGCAACCCACGGCGCCTCTTCCCAGGCTGGCATTTATGGTGGTTTCAGGCATCCCATAGGCCCAGAGTTCACTCTGAACATGGCTGTCTCCCAGGCCCCAGGGAGTCAAATGGAATGGGGGGGTCCAAGAGGGAAACGGGAGGGAGACAGGGCCCCCAAAGGCCCTGGCCTGGTGGCTGCTGTGTGCACATCACCTGCAGTAAACCCATGAGCCCGGCTGGAAGCCCTCGCCCACCTTCCGGCACCAGCAGTGCAGTTGCCAAATACAGGCACTGCTGGGAGATGCACCTTATGGAAACTGGTCTTGCTTTCCCTGCTTAGAAGCTCTTACCTTGAAGTTTTCAGAAATCCGAAAGGGTTGGCTGTCCCAGCTGAGAATTGCAGGAGACGGGCTTTGCGCTCAGACGGACGGGCTCCCAGAGGCTGCGCTCTGACCGCTTGTCTTCCTGCTCACCTGTGCAGCCTCGGGCCATCCATCCTGGTCCGGGGCTGAGTCCTGCAAATCCTTGTGGTCAATAAAGCGCAGCTGGAAGCTGGTCCTGGAGAGGGGAGGATAAGCTGCAAGTACAAAGTGTTTACTGCAAAGCTTCTCCCCTGTGCTCTGTACCTCACACACACGCACACACTCATATATTCATACTCACTCACATATACTCACACACTCACACAACACACATGCTTTGCTCACACATGTACGCATTCACTCTCTCACATACAAACTCACACACCACTCTCATACACACCCACACATTCATGCTGACACACTTGCACACATTCACACACTTCAGGGCACACACATCCACACACTCTCACATACATTTACTCCCATGCACACACATTCGTGTACTCACACACACGAGAATGTGTTCCCACCACCATCCACTCGCAGGTGGTTTGTTTGTTCCTAAGCTGCTGATACAGCGCCAGGCCTGGACAGCTGAGAGAGATTCACACTGAACGAGGGGCGGGGCGGCAGGGCAGGGGTGCCCATCTGGTCCTCACACCCCGGGGAGGCAGGGCACTCAGGCAGAGCTGGAAGGAGGGTCTTGTGGACTTCCAAGCAAGGAGATTCAGAGGGCTGGAGGGTGGGAAAAGCACCCCCTCTCTCTTGACTGGACATGGGCCGCTGTCACAGCATGTCTGAGTTGATCCAGATTTCCCCAGTTTCTCTTAACTTTTTTTTATTTTTATTTAAGCTGCCATTTGTAGAGGGCTCACAGTGTGCCAGGCACTTTGCCAGGGGCCCTGCCTCACTCTCCAGCTCTCCAAGGTGGGTAGTGTTCTATCCCTATTTCACTCAAGAGGCAGCGGAACCCAGGCCCAGTGGCTCGGTCCCAATCACCCAGCTGGAAGGGACAGTGCCAGAGTTTGGACACACTGCAGCTTGGCTCCCAGGTTCTGCTGGCCTCCGGTGTTCCTGACCATGCCCTGCCTGCCCTCACCACATCCCATCCCTAGGAACTCAATGGGGTTCACCCTCCACTTTCTCTACACAGACACCCCAGCCCATCACAGCACAGAGGTGAGAGAGAGGTGCTTCCTTCCCATCACCCTCCTCGCTGACCACACACACCCCCACCATCACGCCCAGCCAGACTCCGGGCAGGAGGAAGAAGGCCCGCTGGTGACCTCCGGGAGTTCTGCCAAGAAAAACGCAGACAGGAGGGTGAGCAAGGACACACTCGGCTGGTGAGACGCGTCGTTTCATCTTCAAGGAGACAGCATGTCTTGGATCTTGTCCATGCTGCTGCAAGTCATATAAAATAATAAGATCGTTCTGAAGGGCAATTTGATCATATATATCAAAGCCTTTAAAATGTGCATGCATGGGCATATCCTGTAGTCCATTAATTCCACTTCTAGGAAATGTATCCTAAGGAAATATTTGGACAGGTGAGCAAAGATGTAGGTGCAAGGATGTTCACTGCAGCGCTATTTAAAATAGCAAGGAATTGAAAACAGCCCAAGTAACCAAAAATAGAGAACAATCTAAATAAATCCTAATGAAATCCATACAATGAAATACTATGCAGCCACAAATAATTTTTAGCATCATCATTGACGTACATATTCACAATCCATTTCTGAGTGTAAGACAGACTATAATAAGCTATTTACACTTTGAGGCCATTTCCATTAAAATTCTCCATCAAAAAGAAAAATCTGGAAGTGAATGTTAACTAACACAGATTATCTATGGAAAGTAGCGCCACAGATGATTTTTCCTTTTTTCCTTTTTATTTTCTGATTTTTCCTAAAATTAACATTCAATGAAGGTAAATTTTTTCAGTTATATATACAGTTTATTATGTTGGTTTGACTACACATAAAATATTGTTTGACTACACACAAGAACTGGTGATACTGGTGCCTCTGGTAACAGAAGATGGGTAGCGAAGTGTCAGGGTGCATGGAAGGAGATTTTTCACTATGTACTCTTTTGTATCCTTTGAATTTTGAATCATATGAGTTTATATCTTTTCACAAATATAAACTAAATTTAAACTTTGAAACAAAACAAATAGATTTAAGGCGCATATTTAACATTTCACAAACTCCATTTTAATGCAGAAGTAAATGTGGAAGGAAACTGTTTTTTGTTTGTTTGTTTGTTTGTTTGTTTTTTTCAGTTTTGCCTTAGGATAAAAAGGCAATCAATTGTTTATAAGTAGTAAAGATGGATTTTACAATGATGATATAGTTAATCTTCCAGTTATATGAATTAAAAATGACACAACATTATCCTTTCGGTTGTTACATAGAATTTAGTGTTATGCTTGAAAAAGGAAATAAAAGGTGCTATCACAATGTCTTTTCCTCATAACACTGGCATAAACTACACTGTAGGATCAGATTTTTATGTACATAACTGCAAAAGAGAAATCAGGTAAGATTGCAACTTATTAATCAAAAAAATGAAAACTACCATGGAGATTATATATACATACATATTTATATTTTCATTAAAAATATGAATATATACATATTGCACAATCAGCATATTTATAATAACAATATCTAAATTTGTTACTGTTTCTTAGTATTGGAAGGAAACTGTTTACATCAGAGTTGCAAACTCAATTACCTAGAGAGGCCAGGGAAAAAAATGAGGAACAGAGCTGGTGTGAGCTGTAGGGCGTGGTGGGGACTGTGGCAAACTAGAAAGCAGAGGCCCTATCTCTGTGGCAATGTGATTCTGCTCCAGCTGATTTGGCCACACAGGAAGCCTGCCCCAGGGCTGCCAGCCTTTCTGATTTATCAATAAAAGTCAAACATCCTGAATTTCATACACATTTTCTCATTTTAAAACATGTGCTGCCCCCTCAAAAACTAGTCTCTGTGGCCAGGCTGAGGCAGCTAGTTTGTAACCCCTACTGCATTACTATGGAATATTCTCATTGAGAGTTTTAGGGAATGTTACAGTGGGGCAATTTGCCCAGAGTTGAGCAATGGTTGCACAGGGCAAAGGCTAAAAGCCAGCACCCCGACTTCAGTTCTAACAGAAGTTAGTTAACTGTGACTTGAAGGGAGGTGAACGTTTACAGGGCTATCAGGCCCTCTCAGGGGCTGCGGTATTTTAACAGAGTGAACAGTTCCAGCCTGCTCGCCAAGGTCTTTTTAAGACTAGAATTAGAGGCCCTGTGCAGAAGGATGAGCCCTCACAGCTCCCCTGAAAGAGACAGCTCCATGTAAGGCTGGGCTGGTCAGAGGCCAAAGTCAAGGTATAGAAACAGGCTGCCCGACTACAGAGCCTCATCACTTTCTCCAGCCACCCCACCTCCCTGCCTGTGGCCCTCTCCCTGTCCGTTCTGCTGGGAGCCTTCAGCCCAACTCACTTCTTTTTTTTTTTTTTTTTTAAGATTTTTATTGGGGAATTGGGGGAAGGGGAACAGACAAGTTGCTGTCCTTTTGCTCCTCAGTCCAGTTGTGGAGGACGCTGCCTCACCGTCCCAGGCGAGGCAGATCAGTCGCCGGCTTCTGGATGGCTGCTCACTGCGGCTGCTGGCCGCTCACGCTGGCTGCTGGCTACATACGGTAGCCCATGGCAACCCACTGCAGCAGGGGCTGCAGCGTCGCCAGCGACCCACGCAGCCCAGCTCCAGGCCGAGCCGTCGTTCAGCAACTTAGCTGTAGAGGGCAGTGTCAGCAGCCCTCATAGGTGAGATCCGAACCGGGGTACTATGGCGTCCCAAGCCAGCTCCCAACCCACACGCCACCCGGCTGGCCCCCAACTCACTTCTGTCTCTCCCTCCGTGCTCCCTGACCACACGGTGCAGAGGCAGGATTCAACCAAGAGCTGGCTCGTTTCTCTGAGCCCTGGCCCTTCCCATCCCAACAGACTCCCTCCTCAAGATAACTCCCATCCTTTGAGCCCCAGTTCCCTAACCTATGAAATGAAGCCAAGAACACCTCTATCTCAGGATGGCTGCGACTTACATAGGATAAAGGGTGAGGAAATTGAAGATGAGAGGCCACTTTTTTTTTCCCTTTAATTCTTTATTTTGTTTAAAGTCAGATGTGTCATCCTAGTCTCCTACAGATGTCTTCAGAATCACTCAAAACACAGTATTCTGCCAAAGAGAGGCCACTTTTCATACATCAAGTTAGCAAAGGTTTTAAAATGGTAAGACTCGGTGCTTTGTGAGCATATGAGGAAATGGGACATTTTCATATATATCCTGCTTCTGAGACTGTATGTCAGTGCAATATTTATTAGGGATTATTTGAAAGTATATTCCAAAGTGTACGTCAAAGTCTCTAGGCAGATCTATAGAGACAGGACTTAGAAGAATGGTTGCTCAGGGCTGGAGGGTTGAGGAGAAATGGAGAGTTACTGCCAAAGGTAGTTTCTTTTGGGGGTGTAAAGAGTGTTCTAAAATTAGATTGTGGTGATGGTTGTACAACTCTGAATACACTAAAAATCATTGACTTGTACTCAAATGGGTGAATAATATGATTTATATTATATCTCAATTGAGCTCTTTTTTAAATGCATAGATTTTAAAAATGCATAGATTTGTACACGTATGTACGACGTGTTTGTCTCCGCATCATTTATGACAGAAACAAAGTTTTAAACAATCCATCCCACTAGGTCATGGAGCACCCGGCACCCATCTTGGGGCCAAAAGGAGAGTCCTCCAGACTGCAACACCAAAACAATGGAATAAAAAGCTGACTGGGAAGCTGAGTCCCGATCATGTTTGTGCCTGGACCGGGCCCTGCCAGAAGCTACTCCTGGACTGCGGGTTACAGAAACCTAAAGTTCCTGAAGCAAGTTTAGGTGGGGTTTTCCATTACTTACAACCAAAGGGGTTGTAAATGATACATGGCAGAGCTATCCAGATACATACCCGAAATGATTGGCCCTCCTACTGCTCATGTCAAAAGCCAAGGACAAGGGCCG